GGGGGGGGGGGGTATACTGTTAATGCTACAAAGTGAATAATAATTTTAAAAAATTATTAGGATTTTCCAAGGGGTGCTCAAGATTCAACTGTCACCAAGTCCATTAGATTTACAGGGGCCATTTAGTTAAATATTTGCAACCAAAGATCAAAATGGGATTACAAGTCTGTATGTGAGTTAACACATTAGCATGCTCTAGATCAGAGAAGGCCGGGGTGTCCAAGTGTATTATTAGACAACACCGTAGATAGTATGTGTATGTTAGCACATAATAGCCCTGCTTCATCAGGCTTCAAGAGCACTTAAAGCACCTTAGTGTGTTTAAGGCCTGCTAAATTGACCTCTCAGTCAATAATATTGTATGCAATTTTAGCATGCCTTAAGTGCCAGTGCACCATGATCATTTAGAGCCTATATTTCTGTTAGCTAATGGCTGTGCTATTATTGAAGCTCATGCATAGTAACACATACAGTACAAACAGTTACAATTTAAACAGAATTGTATCATAGTTGCCAACATGCAATAGGTAAAGCACACATTTGTAACAAAAATAAAACACCTTATACTAACATGTGGTGTGCCTTTGATCTACTACCCTGACTGACAAACTCAGCACTGGAAACTGTGAGAGCGGAGGGCGAAGGGACTAGGAGCAGACTGTTAAAATGACTTCTAATATCAGAGTACCTTTTTATGCCCTACACAATTCTGCAATTTGATAAGACTAATAGGTTTACCGGCATGCAGCATTGCCATTCAACCTATACTGCTACTGTATGTGTTTGCTATCACGACAATGATAGGAAAACTTTTAGCCTTACATTCCTCTCAGAGAGATATAAAAAGTGTTTTTCTATAGCAGAGAATGGAGAGGCTATAACCCTTGTCAGAATTAAATTCTGCAGTGTTAAGTTAAGAAGAAAAACAGAATAAATGATAATAATCATCACGATTACAAATAAAATAATTCATCACTATATAGTATAGTGCAATAAGTGGCAGAGATAGTCCTATACTCAGAAAAGGTCAACTAACAATAAAGCTATAGGAGAATGACTCTTAATAGGAGAGGAGTGGGAGCTCCAACAACATTTAGTAAACAAAGCAAGAGAGAGTAACACAAACAGTCTCCATAGTATAGTAATAAACCATTTAATCATTTAAAAAGTCATTAAATGAATTTGCATGCATGATTTTAGAATATAGTATTGTATGGTAAAATGTCTTGCAAGTCTAGTCCCTGTGAATGGAGAGACTGCTCTGGCCACAGGCAGAAAGCCACACATAGCATTGGAAGCCAGAAGTCGGAATCAGTGAGGGGGACCAAACAGCACACATACCACCTCCGCCATTTCCCGTAATAACATCACAGGGCACGGGAATGCGATTCAATGACGGCAGTTCCTCTTCATCAGCCAACCTAAAGGACAACCCTCATTACCTCTTACAATTTAAAACTCATAGCAACAATCAATCAATTGTGTAAACAGCAAACAAGCAACATGGACAATGTACAATATCTAAAAAATAGGGGGACTGAGACTCATATACGCATGCATTTTCCAAATACAAAACACGATATCAGAAACAATTTGACTACTATGTGTGTGAAAGTGTATCAAAAGCGCAACACTATAGAATGTTTTATGTTATTGGGAATGCACCTTAGGCATAACCATTTAAGAATCATGAGGATATTATGTGTAGACATGCTAAAAAGAATATTATGTAAAATATAGGTTTGAAACAAAGAAAAACAGGTTAGGAGCACTAAAAAATCCATATGACAGCAGAAAAAGGTCAGTATTTAATCATATTAAAGGTTTTTAAAACACAAACACCTTATTCTGGAGAACTGCTAATCAATAAAAACACTGATCAATTAAAAAAAAAAAAACAGCTACCAGTTCATTAGAATCCCCCTAAAAAAGGTGGAGTAATGTACCAATTATTAATATTAAAAAGGGTATCGGATCCCATTTAGAATAGGAATGTTTTGTGTATATAAGACATATAAATTATATATACAGTATGTATATATATTGGCCTAGATTGTTCACTTCTCCTGCCTTCTCCAAACCTCCAAACTCTTCAACTTTTTGTGAATAACCCTGTCAATGCTATTGCTACAAT